TAGACATGCATCAATGTAGCAAAATCTAGAGATAAACACATGAACATCTATTTTAGCATACATAGACATATGAATAGAATGAAATGATCAATTGGAAGTATTAAACTACACAAATTAAGAGAGAAACGATATTTATATATATATATTAAAGGTCAAAACAGGAATTACAACACAAATCCCCTCAAAATACAAAGCATCAAGGTCTAAGAAGCATGCTTAGGGCTAACTCTAGCCCCAAGAAGATGTTTAGCCACTCATTGATGTAGTCATCCAACCTTCAAGGGCCATCTCTATTGTAGGATTGATCTTCTTCTCCTTGATGGAAACCCTAGATGAGTGGAAGAACTCCCAAATGGTGTGTATCTCTCTAATCTCTAGACTCCTCCAACCTCTCTTGTTTATGGTTCCTTTCTCTATAATTGTATATGTGTAAAATAGCTCAAAATCCTTATATAGGTAGCTCAAGTGTCATACCCAATGGTCAGACCTCGTGCCCTAGGACCTCCAAATGATTACACTACGAGCACACCTTTTAATAAGCTGGAACTCTGTTTTTCTCACACTTGAGGGGGTTCGATCGATCAAAGTATGGTCAGATCAATAGAACCTTGGCGGCGCCTTTTTGGAATAATAACAAATTTGAGATATTTTCGGGATATTTTGGGAAAAGGAAAAAAGTGGTAGGTAGGGATAAGATTAAATAAGTTCGATCAATCGAATGAAAGTTGGATCGATCGAAGATGGGAATTTCCTGAGGACAAGAGTAAAAGGCTCGATCCATCTTGGCATGGCTGGATCGATCACTGTGAGATCGATCGAAACTTGATCTGATCGATCGAAGATTGCTATTTTCCATCACTTTGCTCCTTTTTTCCATTCAGCTTGAGATTGCTTCTTTTATGCTTTAATTTGGCTGAATTAACTTATTTTGGGGATAAGTACTTGAAAAAGGAGATAATATGAAATTAGACTAAAACAGAAAAATAAGATATGATAAGGTACTAGAATGTTCAAGCTTAAGGGGTTTAAATACGCATTTTTTAGCGCTAATCAGTATTCTACGTGTTTAACCTGATTGTAGTGACAGCATGAGATTTTCTATGTGATGTGTATGATCTTTATAGTTTCATGTTTACTATGTATCTTGTTTTGACCTTATGTATTGTTCATGCTCAGTTGGGTGAGATTAATGATTGGGCATTGTCTCTTAGAGTCCATAGTATTCTTAGACGCGTCCTTGTCTTTTAGGTTTTCTTCCTTGTAAAGAAAGGATTCATTTTGTAAGGTCTCCACGACGGGAACCTTCTTGTCTATTTTGTTGGTTTGAGTGTTTTAAGACTTTGAGTCTGACAGTTGATGTGAGTAGGGCTCATGTAAGCCTATAGTTGCAGTCTTTGTCTGATGAAATAAGACGTGGGCCATGGAGGCACCATTTCATCTCTTTTTCCTTCATGGCTTCACGACATGGTCGGGGAGTGTCTGAGGTGTTGGTATCATCTCTTGGGGTTTTGTGGTGATCTTGATGTGGTGACATCATTTAGGGTTTCGTTTCTAGTATCTGGAACAGTGAGTCAGGATTAACTTGAGTTTTTCCTTAGGAAATGAGAGATTTGTTTCTGTGAGCCTCTACGGTGAGGTTCTCATGTCTTGTCTTCTTAGAGTGATGGTTTAAGGACTGATAGGTGTGTTGACCTAGAATCCTTCTTGTGTTTGCCTTAGACAACTCTTACGAGCTACGTATTAGGGTGTAAGTGGTTTCGTGTGATTAATTGCATTGGTGCAATTAATTACTCTTTTTTGTTACTTGAGAATTGGGGTTGTGTGTTAGGATTCCGTTAGAATCCTATAGAGTTCCTATCGGACTCATTGGCATCTTGAGGTATGTCTTCCTTGTGGATGTCTTATGATGGTTAGTGTTGAAACTATTCATTACATTGTCGTTTTGTTGTTCAGTAGTCGTTTTTGGAGATGTTTCCTTTCCTAGCAGTGAGAGATTGGGGCTCTTCCGAGTTTTGGGGTACGTTTTTCCTTTCCTTGTGAGATGGTTCCTTTGAGAGGCATTCCATTTTCTTGTGATTTTGTGGCATTGTTTTGTATAGTCACCCTTACATGTCTATATGCCTTACTATTTTTAAGTATGCCTTAGAAACATGTTTAGGATATGTGGTTATGTGTTGGTTTGTGTGATGATAGATATGATTCGTTCTCATATGCTATATCTATTTAACATGCTTGTATCATTAGTAATATATGGCATATTGTTCCTTTCTTGATCCCTATGTGATAGGTGAATTATTTGATTATCTTATGTATACTATGTGTTTAGTAGTAAGGTGTTATTTGGTTTATGTGATTTGATATTGTGAGTATGTATCATGTTGTTGTCGTGTTCCCCTTGTTTGCATGTAGTGTATATATGGGTTTTCAGTGTTTTCATCGTGGAATTCCTCGTAAAAGAGTTATCACATTTTATTTTTTCCTAAGGTGGGAAGTGTCCATTTTTCGTTCTTGTCTTATTTTCATTTGAGGGAGGGTAAGGCTTCTCCTCTTTTTTTGGATTGTGTTAGGGACTTTATAGGGAGTGAGTTCCATTTCTTCATTTCTTTGTGCATAGTTGTAGGTTGATTGGTCCGCGAGAATCACCATTATTGTCTCGAGTCTTTGGTGAGGATTTGATTGATTTTGGTCGACTTACTTCCATATAAGGGGTGAAGTCTTTGATTTTTACGTCTTTCGTTTCAGATGTGGAGTTGAAGGTTCTGATATTTTATGATTTTATGGAGTCTTTTGTTTTCAGAGGTGGAGTTGAAAGTTCTGATGTTTTCATTTCAGAGGTGCAATTGAGAGTCTTTGATTTTTGCGTCTTTCGATTCGTGGCTGGTGTTGTTGATGGAGGTGTTTGGAAGAGTCCTTGATTTGATTTAAGTGACTTGATTTTGAGATTTCATGATTTTGAGGAGTTGAGGCCTTAAGCATAACGGTGCCTATGACATTGTTGTCCAGGTTTTGGGATTAGCTACCCCAACTCTCATAGGATGTCTGGTTACCACAATGCTTGTTTTGTGGCATTTATGTCATTTGTATCGAAGGTTTTACGGGTAGTTAATGGGGACATGTATTGAACTAGGGCTATATACTTTCATGCTACTGTACGAAGTTATGTGTTGTGGGCGGGTGCTAGTTGCCGTCAATGCTACCTTACTGACGAATAAGTGTGGGCGGGCTTTAGACACTATCACGCTACCATACATTTGAGTATATTGTGGGCAGGTTCTAGTCGCTATTCATTCTGCCACATTGCTTTTTTTTTAGGTACCTTGATTCGACGTGTTGTTGTCTTGGGGCCCATTTTTGGGCAGATGTTATTGTGTGTGTTGTGTTATGAGCACGTGGGTGCAAGTGACATTGGTTTGTACATTTTCTTTCGATTTTTGGGTCGCTGATGTAGCGTGTTGTGAGGGATGCTCGAAGGTGTATTCCGTGGTTATCCTAGGTTGGCCTTGATTTGCCATATTGACAGTTATATACAAGTTGGTTATTTTTTGGACAATGATATCCCCAATTTGAAAAGTTGACAAATGCACCTCTATAGCCACCTGCCACATATGACATGTGGGGAATTGACAAACTTGCCCTTTGACAGTTTAGTGGACCTTTTTAACTTTACAACTTAATGAATTGGACCAATCTATCCCTCATTAACATTTAATGCAAAAAAGTTGAAGTGGTGTATTAGAGGAAAATTCTGCACAATAGTGAATAAGAAATTCATAAAAAAAATTCGTTTGAAATCGAAACGGAGCAAATGAAAATGTTTGAAAAGTAGACTCACGGAAGTATAAAATTGAAAATTTTGGTGACGATCCGATATCCAGAAGACTGTCAAATAAATAAATTATAAACCTGATTTCAAAAAGTGGAAAATTCCAGACAACAATTGTTGTCGGATTTTTAAAAAAATATATTTTTGGCCAAAAATTATGAAATTTTTCAGAGAGTAAACATTTTGTAAAAATTTCATAGCAATCGGAATATTACAATACCTTGGAGAAATTAATGAATTTCAACACAATAAATTGACGTCATTTTATGGCTCATATTAACTCAAGGGTAATTTCGAAAACCTAACATGTTGGTTATTTTACAATAAAATTGATTTTAATATTAAGGAGTAAGTTCGTCTTTTCAAACCATGTAAGACTTTATTTAGATGACAATTCTAACAGGAAATGTCATTATCCAAAAAATAACCAACTTATATATCCGTGTCCATATAACACACCTCAAAGGATGTAGTGTGCCCCAAATATATATATATATATATATATATATATATATATATATATATATATATATATATATATTATCCACTTCGGATATGGCATAGTTATTTGTTTGTCAGACTTTAGTACTTTGCATACCCAAAGTTTGGAGGTTCGAGTCCTACTAAATGTTCTTTGTAACTACCTTTCGGTACTCATACAGTGACTTACCAAATTCAAATGAAAAGGCATTTCCTAGATTCTCGAAAATTAATCTAGTTATCAAGGGCCTCGAATTTGTGCCTTCCCAAATATATGAGATATGGCATAGTTATTTGTTTGTCAAACTTTAGTACTTTGCATATTCAAAGTCTAGAGATTCGAGTCCTACTGAATGCTCTTTGTAACTATCTTTTCGGTACTCATACAGTGACTTACCAAATTCAAATGAAAAGGCATTTCCTAGATTCTCGAAAATTAATCCAGTTATCAAGGGCCTCGAATTTGTGCCTTCCCAAATATCTGAGTTAATTATATATATATATATTTCACTCATACCGACAATACCTTTTCTAGCTTATCTGAGATGCATGAACCGATTTAAATGGCCCACGTCAGTCCGCCACATACAAAGTCAAAGTAGGTGGCGCCTCAAAATATAATGTTAGTTTGAGTAATTGAGCATGGCATTATTGTAGTTCCACACAAATTGGCGGCCTATTGTTTTATAAAAGAAACACCCCTAGCTCAACAATACACACAACAGACACACACACACACACACAGGTCGAGAGAGATGGCGAAGAAAATAGTAGTTATGGCTTTTGTTCTGTTTTTAATTTCATCTTGGGCTATGGAAATTGCTGAATCTTCTGCTTACGACTGTATTGATTCTTGTTCCACTGGTTGTGTTAATAGAGACGGTAAGTTTGTGTTTTTTTTTTTTTTTTAACCCCTAAATTGACACATTGTTATGAGTATTTATTATTCTTGTCAAAATTTGAATCTTGAAGATAAAAACCAGAATTATTTAGACAAATTTAGTAGTTTAGATATAGTAATTTTAAAATATATCTATATATAGATCCAGAGTAGATTTGATTTTGTGCGTCTCAAGACAAACATTTCCTTGTCTGATTTTCAGCTAGGCTTATGGCGCGTTGTGATCGCAAGTGCCAGATAAAATGCGATCCAGGTAACTCGACAAAATATATAATATATGTGTGTATGCATATGTTTTTTTTTTAAACCATATGTGCAAATGTAATAAATTGAATGAACATATATAAAAGCTTTGGATTGGTTTTCTTATTTATTTTTTTCTCTTTTCAAAACTTAGAAAATAGATAGATATTTAAAAAAAATTATAAATACAGTTCTCAAGTTAAAAAATTTTGAACGATTTTTCACCAATGGGCATCTAGTGTGAACATTGTGTACTATAGTGCCGCAAAACACTTTCAATAATTTTTGTTAAGATTTGAATAATAACGTATTTCTTTTCGAAAAAAAGCCTTTAATCGAAAATACTAAATTCTAATATTTTTGCACATAGGTGAACGAAACCTAAAAAAATAAAAAATAAAATAAACATTCTGCACTTTTTTAATTCGTTATTATAGTTTGGATAAATTACACTTAGACCTATAGGTTTATCTGGACTAAATGAAGATTTTGTTTTTAATTTTTACTTATATTTGAATTAATGGTTTAGTATTTTACTTATACTTCAAATGTCAATTTTTGGTCGGGTTATAATATTTTTGAAATGTTAAATGGCTATGCTACTCTTTAACCTGTTGTTAATTATTTTTGTGACCAAATTACCCCCAACATACCCCTTTCCTCCTCTTTTTCCTCCTCCCCCTCAAATTAGAAGGTCATCGTTAACAGTAGCTCTCATGAGGCGTCTTCTCAAAGGGAAATTTCACACATACATGCCTTGAATGTGGGTAATCTCTACACGCAATCTACAATCATTTACATCATTAGGGGGGAAAAAAGCGTAATATAAGGGAAAACCCATTTCAAGTTGGTTTGGTTCTATGCATCTGATCATACAAAAAGCAAAGCATTAATTAGATGGGTTCAATACAAGTACGAGTCCCCTGTTCATCATCATCAATTCATCATCACTCCAAATTTGAATAGAAATTTGAGAAATAAAAAAGAGAGATAATCTGAAGAATCTGATGTCAACCCATTTTCAGAATCCATTAATGCTTCTTATCGTGCATATCTATGTGTGTGTATATATTGTAGAGAGCGACAGAGGGTTGAAATGAGGTTAACCTGGCCCTTTTTAGCAACGACAGGGAGGTCAGGGGAATCGGAATCATCAAAATCCTTGGTGACGGCGAGCTTGGGGATGTCTCAATGGAGAAGAGGAGGTTGGATGGGAGGAAAGAGATGAAAAACTCAAAATTGTTGAGGGGTATTTATGTCATTTAAGATTAAAGATATTTTGTATTAAAAAATTAAAAGTAAAAGGATCCATTCGCATATGTTTGAGGCCAAAAAATAAATTAAGGTATAAGTAAAAGTTAAAAATAAAATTTTCATCTATCTAAAAAATAACCTAATCTCACAAGGTGCGTGTAATTTACCCTTTAGATTTCAATCTTGCAATGTGCGTGTAATTTACCTTTTAGATTTCAATCTTGCAATGTGCGTGTAATTTACCCTTTAGATTTCAATCTTGCAATGTTTTTTTTTTAGCATGTTATACATTTTTGCTTTTAAAAATTTTTTCCCTTTTGTTTTGCTGGACAAGTTAATCCACTGTAAATGGGCCATTGGGACCATAAAAAAAAGTTGGGCTTTAAAGAGCAATGGTTGTGCCTAGGGCCCAAACTAATGAATGGCATTAAGTAATGTAATGGTCCATATATGACACTCAAATCTTTGTGCAGATCTTGAAGTGGGGGAAAATCTAGGTTGAAGTCTTGGCTAGACAGGTGGAGCGCATGAATGATGTTAGTGGGTACTTGTTGACAATGTAGAATAAAGATTTTGTTATCCAATACATTGTCAGTTGGATTTGAAATTTCACACAATAAATTTTAATATATGAAAATGTTGTTAGAAATTTTAATCTATGAAACTTTATTGACTTGAATGGGATTCTTTTTCTTTTATTATTATTAATTTTTTTGTTGGTGCCATGTATTGAGCTTTTGTACTTTAACTAATCAAACTGTTGAGTTTCAATATAACATAATTAAGCTGGCAATTTCTTATCCAACAAATGCACCGATAAATTTGAGCATTATTGAACAAACTAAGGCATAATGTCTGCAATGTATTTCGGTGAGAGATGATTCCGGTGAGAGCAGGGCCGGTCCTAGGGCAAGGCGACTAAGTCCGTGGCCTAGGTCCTCCAATTTGGAAGGGTTTTAAATTTAGTACAATAATGTAATATAATAATGGTATATGTCTTAAATAGCACTAGTTTCTATTTGTAACTAGCTTTTTAATCAAGTAAAACTATAAAAGACATCCATTTTAGACCATAATTTCCATAATAAAAAGATAACATAATTTTCATAATTAAAAGACAATACACAATCATATATCATGTAAATTTATGACAATAAATAACTTTCAAAAAAAAATTATGACAATATACACGTGCTTATAATATCAATTTATATACATAATACAATAATTTGTATAGTAAAAATAATTTGTTTCTATGCCTTTCCTTCAAAAAAAAAAAAGGATTTTTTTTATATTTAAATAAGAAACTGATTTATTTTATTAGTATATTAGTTTTGGGCCCACGTGCATGCATGATAGTCCAGTTCAAAAAATCAAAATTTTAATTCATGGATGCAATAACTGTCAAAATTTTAACTCAGCCCAGTTCAAACAACAAAATTATGACAGTGATTGGAGGACTTTAATTTATAGTTTTGCCAAAATGTAAAACGGTCACATTTTTTTTTATATGAAGTTGAATTTTAATTTTTGTGACAAAGTTGTATTGAATATTTTTAAAATTTTTAATGTAAATTGGATTGTGCTCTTTATAAAGTACCAAGATCGATTTTTGTTTTGTATTTTTCAACCTTTGTTTTGTATTTTTCAACCTTAATATATTATATGTGTTTATGGTTTAATTTTAATATAAATTTCGCACTCATATAAAAATTTTGAGAATCTCAAGACCGCCCTAAGCGACAGAGATGATTCCGGTGAGCGCCTTCGCAGGGCTTTAGGTTTTCTCCATATTTCATTGGTGGTCTTGCAGGGTGACATTCTATTGAATTCTTCTTGGGCTCAAAGTGTTATACAAGTTACACATGTCCTTATAATTTTATCTCATCAATTGTGTTATCTACATTGGTCCACTCAATTTTCTCTTTGGGCCTTTGGCAGTACCGTCATCAATCTAAGGCCCTAACTTATGTCATTATTTTGGTATTCCAAAAACTTTATTTTAGTAGTTCCATTGAACCAAGAAGTATATAAGTAGTTCCATTGAACCAATAACTAATGAATTTTTAGTAGGTGTATATTTATAATATAAATGTTTTCGATATACTAATAAATGTTAGCAAAAACACCTCAAGTCCAATGATACTAAATTCAAAGAAGACTGAATTCCTAAATGGAAACTATGAAAAATAAATAAATTCTTTTTAAAATAATTATATATATATATATAGTCTTTATGACTTCCTAATAAAAATTGAATTTGTTTTTTTTTTTTTATATATACATATATTCTTAGGAAAAATTTAAAATATATATATATATATATATATATATATATATATATATTCTCTAATTAATTTTAGTCTCTTTAAATACAACATTAATGAGATTCAGAGTTACACACCCAAGCGCCTCCACGGAGTCTTGATCTATAAACTTCCCTTTTGGAGACTAAGAGCCGGTACGCTAGGTATAACAAGGGTCATTTGTCCTACATCAGAATCGGATGTGAAAGTGATTAGGTATAAATGGGTGGGTATGCAGCATCACCCAATAATTCGAGCTTTTGGGTAAATGGGCAAGTGTCCACCCGTTACAGTTGGTATTAGAGTCAGACCCAATCCTTAATCCGATGTCACGCTAAACGTCTAGCCCGAAAGGCGTCTGAGTGAGCATCCCGAATAGGTAAGGTGGCCCGAGCTACAACGAAGGCGTTGCTTTTGGGTAAATGGACAAACGTCCACCCGTTACACTAAGCTACTTCCCTTTTAGCTTATGTGAATATATACAAGTGTTTTTTATTGGTTAAAATAAAAAGGGACGAAATGCAAAAATTCTCATGTAGTTTGAAAAGTATGTAAACAACACTTCTCATATTCAAATTTGCACCCTTACACTTAAAAAGTGACATATGCTAGTCATGTGCCCAAAAAAGGCTCTTTAATACCAACACTACCCATGATTACTAAGACCGAAAAGTTAAACATAATTCCTTAACTGAATATCTTGGTTGGTCATTTTGTAGTCCGATTATAGCGATTTTGGAGAACCATTTAACTTATTTGGGCAGGGATGGTTTTTATTAATGAAAACCGGCACGAATTTGTGGCGGGGGCAGGGGTAACCTGTCCCTGCCCCATTTATGTTGGTAAATTACTAAATTATACTTATTTTATTAATACATATAGTTAGTTCTAAAAACCTTAGGTCACATTTACTTGCTTTCTCAACCATTCTATAAAGGGACAGAGCCCTACAAATTAAAAACACTCGTACCCTTAAATTATTAATTGCCTTTTTTTTTTTTTGTTGAATTTTTTCAATAGATATATAATTATATTTGAGGGAAAAAAAAAATGTGGAGAAATTATAGAATTAAACAAGGCGGGAATGGGATGGAAATGTCCCCGTTTAAGCAATTTTGAAAGAGAATTTCTAAACTATTACAAGAGCGGAGGTGAATACATCCACCCAAAATCGTCAACATTTTTCCCCTTCCTTATATTTTAAACACATAACCAAATTAAAACTTTAAATCAAGAAATTCTTACAACGCCTTCGCTTTACAGACATTTTCCAATTGTCAATTAACTCCTTTAACACCGTCGATTGTTGGAATCTGACAAGGATGACAGGGTGCAATTCTGAAAGCAGGAGGGAAGGCCAAAAGTGTAATTTCACCTCTCTTTTTTCCCTCTCTCTTCCGTTTCTTTTTCCTTCCTTTTGAGCTCGTGAATTGTGTTCACCCCATTTAATTTCCACTGTCATTTCCACTGGCATTTGCCAACCAAGAAGGAAGGATACTTAGTAATACCATCTCCCAACCATCCCAGGTCTCGGATTGGAGAACACAGGGCGGTGACGTGTAGTTTAATTCCACAGCCATGCAAAGTGAAGGCGTGTCACATAAGTAAAAGACCTACGCCTCGCACGTGTGAGTGCTACACACGCACGTGCTTGAATTGATTACGTGTACGTAGTTGCTGACGTAAAAAGTCAGCAGATGCCCTCGAAACTCATCAATTTTTACAATAAATACCACCCTCTTTAAAGGTTAAGCACACAACCCTAAAACATTCATCCCCCTATTTCTCTCACTTACTGTTTTTGTTGTTGTTGTTGTAAAGAAGAAGTACTATAAGAACACCCCAATGACTCGCTCTCTCTCATTTTTCTTGTCAGCTCTAAACAAAACAAGCAGGGAGAACTAGCTTCTCGATCTTTTTGCTTGTTCTCTCTCTCTACAATTTCACCTTTCTCTCTCTATATAGACATAATATATAGAGGTGGTGTTTGGTGATGAGTCTAAACATGGCCATGATGATGGAGAGGATATGCAACGCTGTACATGGTTTGAAACCGGTAATGATGATGGTGGTGGTTAATATGGCAATGGCGGGAGTGAATGTATTGTACAAATTGGCTGCAAATGATGGAATGAGTTTGAGGGTTTTGGTTGCCTACAGATTTTTATTTGCTGCAGCGTTTATCGTTCCTCTTGCTTTTTATGTTGAAAGGTTCTTTCTCTCTCTCTCTTATTTTTTTTATAAAGAAAATCAATTCCCATAGCTTTGAAATAATTCATTTTATATGTATTTATTCAATTATTTTCCTTGATATGCGCGCTTCGAACAACTCTAATTTTCAGTGTTCTTGATCATGTTCGCTTTTGTCTCTTGGCTATATATTCTCTCTATTTTTATATATACATAAATATTTAAGTATATATGATGACTTTAGTAATAACAAAATTCATTTCTTTGCTCATTATGATTTAAATTTCTGTAATCAAGTTGATTTAAATCCAATTAATTATGGGATATTATTCTAAATTTGCTTTATTTTTTATTTTCCAGAGAAATTTGGATCAGTATAGAAAATAATTTATTTTTTTGTTGTTCAGCACCATCCCTTTTCTGGCTCCGGCCGTGATCACTGTAGTATGGCTAGTTGCTGAAACTACAATCCGTTATTTATTTATTAAATATTATTATTACTATTTTTTCGGTAAATAATAATAATTATTAGTATTGCAAATAAATCATTTACAGTTATTATTTCTCGTATGAAACTGGGTTATTTATGATTATTTAATGTTTAAGGATTCAATACCAATATGTCCGCGTTACTATCTAGTGAATCAACAAAGGAGGAAAATAATCCATATTAATCAATGAGTTTGAAACTTTAATATTGTTGCAATATTGACTCACAATTAAATATGAACAGCTAGACTCACAATTAAATATATTTCAAAAGTTACTCGCAACATGCCCTTAGCAAAGTTTAAATTTTCAACAACAAATTGTTCCAACCGAACAAATAGGCTAATGAATATATATATATGTATATACACACATATATATATTGAAATGTGAAATTGTGTGATATTTTATTGTTGATTCATTGCAGAAAGAGCAGGCCAAAGCTGACATGGGTAGTTTTAGGTCAAGCATTTCTCTGTGGATTATTTGGGTAAGTTGCATGCAAATCTTGCGTTACTGTGTGTTTGTGTGTGTAAATGTGCATTTTCGATTACTCCATATTGATTTTCGATTACTCCATATTGATTTCTAGAAGATGAATCTGTTGTCACGCTCTATATAGGAGCGTGGAGGAATTAGACACTAGGTCATGAAGCTGACAGCTGTATGATCGCTTGCAGTCTCTATTAATAACCGTTGTTAAACATAGACACGTGAAGCAATTTCTACCTCTGCCTATCCAAATATCTCTCTCCTTTGTTAAATTGCTTTATGTGATGTGTCCTCGTAGACACATGAAGCAATTTTTACCTTTGCCCATCCAAATATTTAGGGTCGCAATTCTTGTTCGTGAGTTCTGTCGTATAAATGTAAGAATATTATATTAAATAGTTAAATTTATATTCAGTCTATTTAATTATTGTATTAAGAATTCTTAATACTAATTTAACCGATCGTTTAGACATGTTGACTTGTTTAATGGTTTATTTATTAAAACGAGATATTTAATATTTAATTAAATATTACATAATAAAAAAAATTGTCATAATTAACCTAAATATTTAAAATAAAAAAAATAAAAAAATCATAAGACATAAATAAAGTTTGGGTTTAAATAGGTAATATATTATATAAGTCATATTCACGATTATAACATATTGAGTTAAATAGGTCATAAATGGATTACACGGATTGACTCAATCATAACCCGACACGGTTAGGTAAACGGAATAATTGTGTTGATCTTTTTATGCCAAACTCAATCGTGTCGTGCATGTTGTCGTGTAGTCTCATAATCTGGCACCCCTACAAGAACCCCCCCCCCCCCCCCAACACACACACACACACACACACACACATTATATAAACACACATGTTTAGTAGTGGTATAGTATTATTACATTGCAAATGTTTTTATCTCATATATATAAATATTTTCAAGTCCTCTTTTTCACTTTAGACGACTTAATATACTCTACAAAGCTTCATTGAGACCTTTAATTCCTATTTTTGAAACATTTTTTTTATAACCTAAGTTTAAACATAGCCATCTTTCGTTTGTACTTTCTTAAATTATTAGAACTAAATTTTGCAATTATAATTTCTAACCAAAATTTTTCTTATAAAAAAAAAAAAAAAAAAAAAAAAAAAATTCTAACCAAAATTTATTTTTTAAAAAATAATATTTTAACTACTTAAACATGTTTATTATTTTCTTAACAATTAAAATACTTTTGTTAGTTTATAAATTTTAGCTTTAAACAGTAACTAATGTTTTTAAAAGTGTAAGAAAATTATTTGATAAAAATTTATATTGCTATTTAGAAATTAAATAATTTTTAATATGATCGAAAGTTATAAGATTGTTTTTTTTTAAGGTAAGCCATGCACACATACATAAACTCATTTGTCTTAGTCGAGACTAGGTTATCACTTGAGCTAAGCTTTTAATTATTACAAATTATTAGAGTAAACTTTGAGAGATTTTAGTACTAATACAATGATATTTATCACAAATAAAAATTTAAAAATCTTGTTGAAAATTGATAGGACTTTTTAATCAATAATGTAAGACATGATGTAGGTAATTCTATGAAATAAATTCTTTCTTGGTTTTTAATTATTAGATGGTTGATTGTGGAATAAATAAAATAAAAATCATCATCATGGTTTATATAGAAATGTTTCTTGAATATATAACTAAAATTTTGGTAAATTGTTCATTATAGTGGTTCTCTGGCCCAGAATTTATACATAGAGAGCTTGGTTTTAACCTCGGCAACATTTGCTTCAGCTATGAGCAATCTCATTCCCGCCATTACTTTCATCATGGCCGTTTCCTTTGGGTATGTATATTCTCTCTTTCCTATTTTTCTCATATACATACTTTGTTTTTGTCATATATATATATATATATACAGACACACACACTTTTAACTTGTTAATTAATCGTTAGCATTGTTTGATAATTGTCTAATGTATGCGTGTGTGTGTGTATATATATAGATAAATATGATTAAGTGAAGAATATTCTCTTACTTATCCGTGATTACGTATGTTCTCTTTCCTTAGGATGTGTATAATTCTCTTGCTTATGTTGAGTAAAAAAAAAATATAACAATAATATTAGCTGTCTTAATACCTGGTGTATATAAATTGCTCCTCGGTGAGAAAGAGATTAATTATATATCTATATATATATATATATATATATATATATTGGGTTCAGGTTGGAGAGTCTGGTATGGAGTTCTATGGCAGGCAAAGCAAAGGTGGTGGGAACATTAATGGGAATGGGTGGGGCTATGCTGCTCACGTTCTACAAGGGAGTCGAGGTTGACATCTGGTCAACGCACGTTGACCTTTTGCACCACCAAGGACGCGTGTCAGCACCACATTCTGATAATCATGTGTTGGGTGCTTTATTGGCTATATGTAGTTGCCTGTCGTATGCATTGTGGTTGATTATTCAGGTGATCGATGATCATGCAAAAGAAATAATTATTTCGCTTTATTCCAAATTTACCCTTCACTGATTTGATTTATCACTCCACATTCTTGTTATCTTTTTTGGATCAGGCTAAGATGAGTGAGAGGTACCCATGTCCTTACTCCAGCACAGCGCTAATGGCTGTGATGGGATCAATCCAGGCCGTTGGATTTGCCCTCTGCATGGAGAGAGACTGGAATCAGTGGAAGTTGGGGTGGGACATCAGACTCCTCACAGTAGCTTACGGTGTAGGTGCCTATACATGTATAGATATGCATATATATATATATATATATGTATAATGTATTCTGTATGTCTGTATTGATTTTTTTTTTTTATTTTTTTTTTTATTTTTTAATTTTGTGTATGTGGACTTGTGTTATAGGGAATAGTGGCCTCCGGATTGATGGTTACGCTAATTGCATGGTGTGTACGCATGAGGGGCCCACTGTTTGTATCGGTTTTCAACCCTCTGATGCTTATACTTGTTGCCATTGCTGGGTCTTTGGTATTGGATGAGAAGCTACACTTGGGAAGGTTATTTCTTGCCATCCTTTGTTAATTTTTTGTTTTTTTTATTTTGGTTTTTTTGCTTTTTGGTAAGTTAACAATTAAACACATATTAAATGTGTCTATTATGTTTTCATAAAAATTTGAGCGCTAGATTTAAGAAAAAGATTCACTCTTGTGGAGGAAAGAATGCTCACATAGTATGACGTGAATTCTGTGTTAGGATATATGTCTGTGCACCAAAATGACATCATTGCACCGGATGCATGGGTCCGGATTCTCTGGACTTTTTATGTCTTCTATGTAAGAAGACAAGAGGATGTCACTTGATATTGCGGTGTTTAGATGTCTAACACCGCAATAATGTAAGGGGGTCGAACTTTTAATTTGTGGGGGTAAACTTATACAGTGAGTTTATTTTTATAATTTCAATTAGGTTTTTTCATAAATTTTAAAAATGTAAAGTACAAAATGTAAAAAGCAAAAAAATTCAATAGGGCCGAATTGCAATTTTATTGAGGGAATTTTCATAAATTCTTAAAAATTTAAAGTATAAAATGCAAAAATAATAATAAGAAGAAGAAGAATCCACTAGGGCAAATTGTAATTTTAGTAGGGATCTTCATAAATTTTTTTAAAAATTAAGATATAAAATGAAAATATAAAAAATTTAATGAAGGCATCCGCCCCCACTAATCCCACGTTGGACCGTGCCTGATGGCATGTGCAGTTGCTCATCTCATATGCACGGACCTAAGAAGTTTGTCTTATGCCCCTGTCTCCATTGGAGATGTCAAGATTGAAAAAAAACCACCAAAAACTTTTTTTTCTTTATATATATCTACAAATATGTGTGTGTTGATAGAAATTAAACCTCCAGTTTAACATTTTATTTTATTTTGGTGTTAATATATAAGTTTATGGTTGGTGTTGATTTACATATATATATATTTGTGTTTGACAGTGTGTTAGGGGCTGTGCTAATAGTGATTGGGTTATACTTTGTGTTATGGGGAAAAGGCAAGGAGATGAAAAAGATTGTTCCACTCATGCCCTCCAAAAGCTCTGCAGAATCGGAACGAGTGGACATTGTGGTAATTTCATCAGTTGAAAACAACACCACTAGCAATGGTAGCAAGGTAATTGTACCATTGGCGGATAATGTTATTTTAGATGGAGAAACTAAATAATAGTAAGGATGGTAATGAGGAAAAATAGGAATTTTTTTTTTTTTGTTTTTAAAAGTTTATGAAAAAAAAAAGGATAAATCTTTATATGTAGTTGTAGGTGTAGTGTCATCCCAATTGCCCGTGGATTTGGGCATTTTTGGTAGAGTTGGAGGTGGCACATTTTTATTATTTTTTTCATAACTACTTTCTATTGTTGGTTGTATTAAAAAAATAGTTTAATTGTTATTCATTATAAATGAATTGATAGATTTTATATTTGGTATAATTTTTACTGTTTCCTATAATTGGGAGGTGGCACACATTTGTTTTGTTTTCATTTGACCAAATATTAATATACCAAAAATATAATAATAATAATAATAAAATTATACGGAAGTAGGGGCTTAAGGCCCAAACACGGCAAAAGCTCAAACCATCCCCAAGCCAAACCCAACAAAACAGCCCACCTAGCAAACTAAAGAACTAAGGGCTAGCAAGCTAAAGAACTAAGGACTAGTTTGGTATGGTTGAATGAAATAAAGTGGAAATGGAATGAATTAGAGAATGAAATGGGAAGGGAATGAGAATGAAACCATGTTTGGTTTGTATAGAAAAACATCCTATTTTTGTAAAACACACACACACATATATATATATATATGTATATATGTATTCAACGTTTCATAAATATTTTTTTTATTCATTTATTTATTATTATTATTTTTTAAAATAGGAATAAAATGGTCATTCCCTTAGTTCGAAATTGGAATGAATTAGTGGGAATCACCATTCTCAGAGAATGGTTAAGAATCATCATTCCAACTTAAAATTAGTTATCAAACTAAATAATGGAAACAAAAGCATTCCATTCCCACTTTATTTGATTTCATTCACTTGCACCAAACATGGGTTAAAGCCTTCAACAATATTGAATATAGCTGTTTCATAAATATTTTTTTTATTCATTTATTTATTATTATTATTTTTTAAAGTGTGAATGGAATGATCATTCCTTTAGTTGGAAATTGGAATGAATTAGTGGGAATTACCATTCTCAGAGAATGGTTAAGAATCATCATTCCAACTTAAAATTAGTTATCAAACTAAAGAATAGAAACAAAAGCATTCCATTCCCACTTCATTTGATTTCATTCGTTCGATAATATTGAATATAGCTGTTCCACTATTTTTTTTTTTTTTTTCCTAACTTCATTCAGGCCACCCCGGTTCAGATTCGGGACTTTCTGGGTTTTCAATTCTCTTTCCAAATCAACCCTTAATCCAATTATGATTTATCCAAATCTATTCCAATGGGAGTGGACCGGAGCCGATGGGACGGATTAAATTGACATCCAACACTCCAAGCAACTGAAATGGACCTTGAACTTTTATAGTTTCGCATCTTACACTAGAGTGGGCGATTACGAACACCATTAAAGATGAGAAATAAGAATAGAAGCATGACTTCCAAATGATACTTGAAAAATATTGGAACCTATACCAGGACAAAGGTCCAACTAGGGCCCAACTTCCTCTAAAGGGCTGGTATTGGTCTATATATACTATTTGCATAAGCCGACGAACATTTATTTCAACAACAAAATAAGAAATATATATAGTGATCCGTACCTTATTGTATAATAATAATAATAATAATAATAATAATAAAAAGGGATACAATAGCGTTGACAGGAATTCGAGAGACAAGTTTTTGAGGTCTCGTTTTTTAATCGCATTCTTGACTTGATTAGTATGTGTGTTGTGGGACACCTACACGTGCTCTTTAGAAAAAAAAAAAAAAAAAAAAAAAAAAAAACAAACTTACCAAAAGATGGGTATAAATGGAACAATTTTTTTTGTTTTATAGTTTCAGATTTTGAAATAATATTATGACATATGAGTTTCTTATGACATGAGAGGAAACCAACTATAAAATTCCAAAATTTATGAAAAAGGGATTGTCTTTTTCTTTAATTACAGTCTGGTTTTTCTCTCTTTAAAATCTAGTACTGTTAGTCCTATGGTTTGATAAATCCTTCTTATTGAACACTTTTGCTTTGTGACTATGACTACCTTCGATATATATATATATATATATATAAACAATGCTTTTGACTAGGATAATTGCTTTGTTCCGTTAAATGGTCAGTCTCATTGGCTTTGACTGTTTAACAGGAAATTCACTTTATTTGATTGATGAATTTGAGTCATGTTCAAAGTATTATGTAGATGAACAACGATTTTTATTACGAAAAACGCCAACAAACTAAAATTTGACCATATTACAAGCATTTGATGACTTAGATTTGAAACTCCTGGGTCCTACGCATCGAAGCATCAAATTGTTGCGATAGAGTTGCAATTGTGACATATAAATTTTATAATTGACATATTTTGATTTCAAAACACGCATGATTGAGTAATAATTTTTTTTTATAAATTTTGATGTTTCGACATCAAAATAATACAACAAATATACAAATATTTCAGTTCGAGGAGAATATAGGGACTATATAAGTAATGATACGTAGCACTTATTTGATTTGGATTAGTTGTGAGAACATTGAGAATTAAAATAGGTCAATTTTTAACCCTCGATAAAAATCACTTATTTGATCTAGATTAGTTGTGAGAGCGTTAAGAATTAAAATAGGTTAATTTTCAACCCTAAGCAAAACACAACCGAATGAGCTCACAAATAGAATTTGTTGTGATTTTTTCAGGTTTAACTTAAAACAGCTCTTGGTAAAAAAAAAAAAAAAATTGGTGGCATTTCCAAAACACAAATGGGGCGTTCTCCATGATCATAAATTGCTCTCAATAAAGTGGTGTTTTGAATTGCATCCATTGGTTTTTTCTGGGATGCCCGAATTTTTTAGATTTTGGAAATTTTTTACCCAAAATCCTAAGGTGAGTCCTTCCATATACATCGAGAGCACTCTAGTCTGTATAACTCTCTTTCTCTGCTAAATTTTTAGGGCTTGAAAATTAATATATTTCTAATTGAGAGTATTTTTCTACGAAAAAATCACCTTGATTGTTTTGTATATTTTTATTTACTTGAGAACATACGCAAATACACTTGAGTGATTTTACAATGATGTTCTCAATTTGATTCAAAACCTACGGACAACTCTCCCTTTTATACGCCCTTTACTTACTCTATAAGTGGATAAACAAATTCAACAACGCCATTAGAGTTTGAAAGGAGGAGGAATCGATCATAGTACGAAAGGGTCAAACGTACATTCGTAGAGTGTGTGATCTACTAACAATCTTTTTACAAGGATTGAGGACTAAGCTCAAAGTTCACAATAATCGGGGAGTTGCGAGAGTCAATCTGGGATGTTCAATAACTAGTTCTTGGTAAGAGGACTAGTTGTGAGACTAAGTCAGAGTCTAGTGTACTCTACTTCAAAGATAGTGAACCGTTTCGTTCGAGTTTGCGAAAGTTTATGTGGTTTTCACCCCGATTGGTTAGATTTCTTTCGACTAGAGTTTTTACGTATAAGAATACTAGTGTTATCTCTCAAACTTTATTTACTTTACTTATACATTATTTTTTGATTTTTGGATTGATTTTATTTTTATTTCAGTAAAATTAAAATAAATAAAAATTACGTAAATAAACAAGTAAAACCTATTCACCCCATTTATGATATTTTTTTTACATCAATTTTTCACATCCATTTCGTATTGTGCAACTCACATCAATTTTGTTAAAACAATAGAGTAGTGCAACTTTGACGAATTTGAACCAAAATCTTTAGTCGAACCCTGCTTTTGGCAAGATATAAAGAAGTACGTGCCTTATTTATTTATTTCATATCCAACCGATCAACAATCTTAGCTAAGTATTTAGGTTAAATTTTTTGGATTTTTCTAAACAAAATAAAGACTTACTAATTTAAAGAAATAGCTAATACTTAGAGTTAGGAGAATGTGACCCTTTTTAAGTTTATATTTTGAAAGATAAAAAAATATCAAGTTATGAGAAAAATTTAAATACTCTGATTATAATAATGATGTGGTATCACCACTATTTAAAAGCGACACATAAATAAAAATGCATAAATCTTACTATATATCTATATTTAATTAATACACCATAGGCATCATCACGACAATCGAAGCATTTAAAATTTTCTCCTATAGGCTACAATTCAGACACACTTTTGTAATTGCGGGTATTTGAATCCTTAATTATCTATCTTGTGAAAATGTAACCACTACATGCCATAGAACTTGAACAAGTGATTTGCCCAAACTTTGAACGCCTAGACTGGTCAAATTTTCTTGCTTTGAAAAAGAGAGAGATATATATATATACACACACGCGCGTATACGTGTGTGAAGTGTGGTCAAGCTTGGCCGGCTAGGATAAAAATGAGAGCGACGTAGGGGTATAATTGACATTTAGGTAAGAGGGCAACATATTCATGATGAAGCGTGCGGACGGCCATTAATAATTCTCCCCCACCTGCATTCTACCAGCCACCCACACCCTCGTAAAGTCAAAACGAAAAGAAATCACATCCATGGCTGCCAAACAGATGGATGGACCAGTACAGTACCATAACGCACCACCAAACACTGCTTTAAAAGTCTTCAAAAAACGTGACATTGCCATTCTAAGTCAATTCCTACTGAACCAATTTAAATACACTACCCCAATATATATATATATATATATACACGCACACACGCACACCTTATGGTATGCATACAAGAACGTGTTCTTTGAATGCTTGGTCACGATATCAACTTCCGACTACAAATTAGGAATATCGGTTATATAAGACTTGAATAGTGAAAGATAAGTTTAGTATATTTGATTTTTCATTTTAAAAAAAATTTAATAAAAAGAAGTTATTATTATCATATTTGACTTTATGTGGGAGTGTGATGTGGATAACTAGACATCGAACGAATTGTCACACTATTACATGGTGTAATATCTCACATCGCATAACAAAATAAAGTGTTATATGTAAAGTTTAATACTCTTGTATAAGACAAGGCATTTTAAAGTCACGATGACCCTAAATTTATTAAAATTCTAAAATTAAACGTGCTTATTGTGAATTAGTATTGGACGATCTTCTGAATAGTCTCTCTCAAGGAACAATATTTTATATGAATAGAATAAGGGTTCTTACAAACAGCTCAGTTATAAGTAGGGATGGAGTCGGGATTTAGTTTTAGAAGAGGCACAAAGTAGTAATTTTCATTTTTAAGGGTATTTTTTTAAAAAATTTAATTTTAAAAAAAGCACAAAGTAATATTTTATAAATTTTATACCTATATATAATAAAAATTTTAATGAGCCAGCTTAAACTTAGGGGGCACGTGCCCTCCCTCGGCCCAAATTGGCTCCGTTCCTAGATGTAAGTGCGGGAACGAAAATGTTGGACAAAAACACCACATTAGTTTTTAACAAATCAATTATTGGTGTCTTAAATATTTTGTCCCATTTTAGAAAATGTAAACTAATACTCAAATTTTTAACATTTAAAATCAACTCTTGGATTTTGCACCAAAGTGAAAAAGTCTAGTCGCCTCATAGGATGCCCTAAAGCGGAGTGGTCTCAGATGTAGACTAACAAAACCCACCGCCCACTTTCTCTGCAACTTCGCTTAGTCAGAGTACTGAAACGGAGAAGTCAAACGTCATTTGAATTGTTCCCCTGTTTTGGTCATGTAGTGGGAACATAAAAATCATATTATATGTATTGTAATACCAATAAATTTTTTTAAAAAATATTATTACCATTGGCATGAAATGAACCTTTTTTTTCTTCTTTCTCTGATTCGTTTGTTGAACTAGATTTAATGTTCACTTGAAGTCCGGATGAGACAGAGAGAGAAAAGAGCCCCAATTCATTGCTGACCTGCTTTTTTCTGATCTGCTCCTCTGGGTTCCAAAAGATCTCTCAGTTTTTCTCTGAATATACGTACCCACTAAGGTATAGATCTTCAATCTTACTTTACAAGCCTTCAATATATATATATATATATATATATATATATAAAGTGTATGTTTTCAGTTGTGGTTAAATTTGATGTGTCTTTGAACTCATTATTTTGATCTTTTCTTGGGTTTATGTTGTGACAATGCCTAGGTAATCTAGTGGGTTCAGCCCTATTTGTCAGTTTTATCAGACAATTTATTTATTTATTTTTTTAATTTTTGTTTTCTTCCCCAATGTCATTTTTAGAATATACTTCGAATTATCTTTGTTTTTGTTTTGATTTGCTTGGCTCTGATTGTTGGGTTTTTTGCTGGTTTCTTTTTAAGAAGTGAATCTTTGGTCAACATTAAGGTTCTGCTGATTTCTAAGCTTCAGTTTATGGTATTCCAAAGAATTTATGCATTTTACATGGGTTTTTACAGATCTTTGAAGAAGGTCGTAGCTTTTAATTTGTATCAACAGGTTAGTTTTCTCAAGTTTCTTTTGAGATTGAAAAAATCAGTTAGGTCTATGTGTGTGTATATATATGTATATCTGTGTGTGTATCAAAATCTATGTTTTGTTATAACAAATATGCTGGTAATACAACTGCAAATGATGAGAATCAGAAATTTATTTGCATATTGGGACAATTTATTTGTCAGTAAGGATTTTATACTAAAAAAAAGAGAGCAGAAGTAGGAGAAAAAATTTGTAGTATGAAGAGAAATTTCACAATTAAAGCTAGCATGACTGCTCACGTCTTTGTATCTAGCTTGTTTTGTCAACTTGCCATGATGGTGTGGGTTTTTATTGCCTATCTTGAAAATAATCCTTTGGATAATGTTTTTTAGATTCCTGGGAGGAAAGTTTTCATGCGTGAAGTGCTTGGTGCCTTATTTAATTACAGAGTTGACCTTGCAACATAGGTGATGAAAAGAGAATAAAAACGTCCTGGAGCTAGGTGATGAAATCTAGATGGGAAGAACATAGAAGTAGAACTATTTCAAAGCAAAGTGCTAAAAGAAGTACATGACGTTTAGAGGATGAAACTAACTTAATGCGTAATATTATGATAGCCAAATGTATTAAAGGAATATCAACAGAGGTTCTTGGTGAATAAAAAAGAAAAGGTTCATTTTTTTACGAAACTTGGTTAAGTTCAGATCTGGCAAAAACATGGGGAAGGACAAAGGAAAGGAATCGCTAAATACGAGTCAGTCGATTTGAACTTCTCTTTTTCTTTAAGCGGAGGCTCAGTCAAGATCAACCTATGGAACTCTCTATCGTTTCGCTTTGTTTGTGGGTTCACCCATTCCGTCAACCCTTCTTGTCCGGTAGCTCTGGCCTAATCAAAGAGAATTTGTTATAAAATTTGGTGAAAAATGTCAAATTTGGTAAAAAGTAGTAAGAGATACTAAATAGATAACATAAGGTGATTTTATTCTTAATTAGGTCAAAAGGATGTAGGGAAGTGTGCAAATAACATTGCTAAGATAAAAAGAGGAGAACTAGAAATGTGAATTATTTTAAGGGTGAGTATTTAAAGGTACTTGTTAAGGGTGTTATGAGGGTGGATTGGATACAAAACTAATCTTTGGTATTATTACAAAGTGGTTACTTTCAAGATCCAAACCTGCATTCTTAGCTCGAGCATTTTACCATTCCCCTAAAGATATGTATGGTAGTGTGCCATTCAAATAGTTATAGCCTCAGATATGGTAAACTGGTTAAACATGATTCATGCGGTGGGCTTGAAATCGTTAAGACAGATTTTTGTTTAGTCGGGTTGAGGTGAGTGAGCTAGAAGTATCATAAACTTTTTCCTATGAAGTATTCGTATATCCAATCAAAACAAATTAACATTTTGGGTGTTTTTGAGAGCTTTCTGTTGGATGTTTTGAAACCTTGCAAACCTTGTCTTTTGTGCGGATTTATCTCAAATGTTCGAGGGACATTCAATTTTTATATCTTTTGGTGATAGCGTTTATGCTAATTGGGTCCTAAGATTTTCTTCAATAACTCTATTTTTGAAAACCAAGTGGGCAGTTAAAATTAAGGTTTAACAACCTAAAAAATGGTGCGATTTAATCTACTTTTTATGTGCATGTGAAGTTGTCTTTTCTTACCCATCTCATTTTCTTTTACTTCTCTCTCTCTCTCTCTCTCTTCCTCGGTGCATTTTGTTTAGTAAATGATCTTCTTCCCTTTTTCTTGTTTGTGTGCTAAACCTGATTTACCTTTTGTTTATTTGCAGCCATATTCACATAAGAAGTGGAATATAATTTATCAATAGAAATAGATAATTATTCTGGCATTTGGATTTCCATCTACCAGTTTAGGGGGTTAAATGTCATTCCGCAGCATAGTTCGTGATGTTAGGGATGGTTTTGGAAGCTTATCCAGGCGGAGTTTTGATGTCAGGCTTACAGGCCACCACAGGGGGAAATCGCATGGTTCATTTCATGAGTTGCATGACCAACCTTTTTTGGTAGTTCAAAACAGCCGTTGGGCCAACCTCCCTCCAGAGCTACTTTTTGATGTAATCAAGAGGTTGGAGGAGAGTGAGAGTACATGGCCTGCTCGGAAGCATGTTGTTGCGTGTGCTGCCGTTTGTAGGTCATGGAGGAGTATGTGCAAAGACATTGTTACATGTCCAGAGATCTGCGGGAAGCTTACTTTTCCTGTTTCCCTTAAGCAGGTAGGTTGTTTATGTGCTTTTTGGTTATATATGGCACAAATTCATGTGAGATATTGCTCTATATTTCAATTTCATTCATTATGAAATTAACCCAGATTCGTATATGTTGTGGCTTAGATGTGGATTATGTTTTTCATTTAAGAAGTACAGTATCTTATGATGTTAGGACAACAATATGTTAAATCCTGTTCATTAACTTTTCAGCCAGGGCCTCGTGACGGAACTATTCAATGCTTCATCAAAAGGGATAAATCTAAGTTAACATACCACCTTTTCTTGTGTCTTAGCCCAGGTAAGCATCTTGTTCAAATCTTTTGTATTTCTGAAAAATGCAAATATTTGATGAGTTCTCAAGTTCTACTTATATTTTAACTTGATGAATATGGTAACTGTTTTATTTGTGATTGCCATTTTTATCTTCGCAATTGTGCAGAAGAAAACGAATTGCATTTTAATGTTTGATTATGGTCCATCGTAGAATATTTATATATGCGCCAGTTCGATTCACATGGGAATGCTAGTGCAATCGTGCACACTCGGATTACCTTCTCTGTTTACCCTGTTTTAAACAATAATTATAATAAATGCCATCATAAAGTGTGTTGTTCATACCTGCAGAAATGGCACTTGTCAGGCTCTTTATAGCAATATGTATCCAGCATAGGCTGATATCAATATTGCATATAAGTCTCATGTTGATAATGCTCTAGTGTCTGCATTATTGTTTAATGATGATTGACATGGTTTATTTAAATGTCTACCTTTTTTGTCTTTTGGCAAGAACCTTCAGCCTTTCTATAATTTACAGACTTGTAACTAAGAAGAAGTCAGTATTTTGTTTTACACTGCTTGAGAAAGGCTTGTAGCGAGGAAGTCAGTATTTCGTTCTCGCTGCTTAGACTTCACTAAGCTGCCCCTGGCATACTGTGATGGTGTCATTGAGTCATGTAGCATGTGATCTGCAGTTCTATTCAGATGCTTAACTTCCATGGCATGGAAGGATTTTCCAAATATTCATCTTTCAGTTTCCAAAATTTAGTGTCTTTTAGATATGATGAAAGCTCTGTAAATCAATAATGCGAGAAAATTCTAGCTTTATTCTCTGTTGTGTTGTGATAATGCCTAGTAGTTCAACTTTCTCTCATAGATACTGATTACCACTTTACACCATTAACCAAAAGATGGGGAAGGATAGAAAATGATTGCATTTAGCTAGTGTTTTGCAAGAACTACTGGTTTGTTCCCATAGGATCTTTTATAAATAAACTACATAGATATATATTTATATATGTTGCATTTACTTGGGAGTAATGGTATCCGGATACCAACAAAATGTTTTTCCTCCCTTAGTTTCATCCATCTTTTAGCAATTTTGTTTCACGAGTGTCCTCTTTGCTATTTAAATTTTTTTTTTTAATACCATAAATAATACTTGATTTTTACTGTCTTAAACTTCTCTCTGTTCTACTGAATCTTCCACCTTTATATTTATTATTATTATTTTTTTGGTGATTCTAATCCATTGTGATTACAACTCTGCAGCTTTGCTTGTTGAAAATGGGAAATTTCTACTTTCTGCAAAAAGAACTAGGCGAACAACTTATACAGAGTATGTTATATCAATGGATGCCGATAACATTTCAAGATCAAGCAGTACTTATATTGGAAAGCTGAGGTAACAAATTAGAGTGACAGAGATTCAATATCCGCCCATTTTCTTCTTTTATGTACTTTACCCGTCATCATTATTCCAGGCTAATTAGGAGTTCTGGAATTTTCTTCTTATAATTCATCATGAGAGGATTTACCATAGAATGAAAACAATATTTTGTCACGCCCTAATTTTTCCTACAACACTGGTGGAGAATGTTCATGAATGACCAAGAACGAAGATGCTATAGGAAATTAGGACTTTTAATGTGAGAAATTTAAGTAGAGCTTAAGGATTATGGAGTTGGCACCTAAAATTAAGTTGTGGTGTGCTAGGTCACTTGAGATGAGTGATAATGACATAAATGCAATGACCCTTTGTGTTGACATTTATATGGTCTAATGAACTAAATTAATGAATTTGGAGGTCTGATTATACATGCAGAAGGTTTTAGGCTGCCGTAAAATTTTATAGTTACGAAGGTCGCAAAAATGATTTTTTTTTTTTCCTGAATAAAAATGATTTTTTTTAGAAGTACAATAAATTTTAAAAGTTCTGAAAAATGCTACAAATAATTCAATTTGAAAGCTTTTTGAAAAACAGTAATTTTTTTGGAGATACTAATGGACTTTTTCAGATTCAGCAGAATTTTTGCTCAATGCAAGGATGCACGAGTGTTATGCTAACATATATATATATATATATATATATATATATTAATTTTCCAGAATAAAAATAATCCTAAAAACACCAACTATGATGCCAAAAAATTGCGGCTAAACCTAAAGGAATGAAAACGCCTAAAATAATGCAGAATAATGACACTGTTGTGATTCAGACAAAATTCTGATTAAACCCATTATTTGAGGACTTTATGGAGTTGATAGAAACATACTTTCTAGAACGATTTTGAGTTGAAAGTATTGGAAATGTTATTACAACACTATTATTGGAAAAAATATCAAAGGATCATAGATAGATTTTGGCAATGCTGACAGGTGTTACGCAAATTTTCATAGAATTCCAGTTTTAAAGCAAATATGTGGGGTTTCAAAGGATGTAATGCATAGATGATATTCCTTAAAAGGTAACATGAAACCCATTTTGAAAAACATTATTTTGATATAAAGCAAAAGTCAATTTTTAGGTTTTAATAAAATTATGGCAAAATAAAAGCTGTGTACAGAGTCTGCGACTAATGTACTTAAAACATGATGGAAATTCTACCTAAATTCATTAAAATCATGCCTTTAGCCTATGGTTTAAGTTTACGCCAATTTTAACGAAAATTTGACTGAGATTTCCTTTTAGCTTATGATCACAAAAATGGAGATTTAAGTCAAATTAATGAACACACAAGAAGAATGCTTTTTTAGGCAAAAATTGTTACAGGTTCTAGGGTTAAAAAACAATTGATCAAAGGAAAACACCTACTTTTCCCTCCTCAGCAAGTGCCACGGTCTCCCATGATGCGATTAGCAGGATTTAATGGCATCAACGCGTACATTGGAGAATTTTTTTTTTGGCTACATCGGAGAGTTCACCATGGGGTATTTTAACACAAATACATGGACCAAAAAGGTTCAATAAAAAGAAAATGAAAGGTAGAAGAGAGAGAGGCATGCAAAATTTAGAGGAAGAAAATCAAAAGAGAAAAAACCCTAATCTTGCATCTACAGAAAGGGGGTGAAGAGAAGTATAGAGTTTAGAAGGTCTACCTTGTGTCTTTTAGCTGATATTAGAAGTTGAAAGCCTTCTTTTTTTAAGATTAATTTGAACCTTCTAGTCTTAAAAGCTCTTTCTTCAAAGAGGGATCTTGTTCTTCTTCCTTGCTTTTTAATAGAGACTGATTTTGAAGTGGAAGAGGGTTGGTTTGATGTCTTGAATGCCTTGGACTTAGGGCTGTTTGAAATTGGAGTAGAGGGCCCAATTATGTGTTGTTCCCAATTCTGGAGCTGAGAAGGAAAAGAAAGGGGGGGGGGGGGGGGGGGGGGTGGGGGGTGTTGGAGGGGGGTATTTATAGGCCGTTGAACTGAAACTGCATCAATTTGGGAAAACTTTACAAAGTGCCGCACCTGGAGGTGTGATATTATGTAATTCACTCAAATTTTTTGTGCTGCACCTCAAGTTTCTACATAATGAAGAATGCTTCACCTAGAGATGTGGCAGTTTGCTTCTCCTTGCATTTTTTGAATTGGCTTGAGATTTTTGAGGAGAAATGACATTTATTTTTTTATTTTTATGTTTTCCTGCCTTTTTCAGAGGTAAAACACAGCTTTATGTTGCATTTTGATCATTCTAGACGTTATGGACGTGATCACATGGGTCGTGTGACTTCCTGAAAGATGGTAAAAAGTAATCCAATCGAAAGGTGATTGTGAGATCATACATGTAAAACCATGAATTTTAACATGGAAATGTCAATTTGACGATTTGGTGATGATGGGATGGTGATCGGAGCAAATTTGGTAATTGATCTGAGGTCCCAAACCCTTAATTTACTTTTTAAAATTGGATTGATCCGGTAGACCCGCTCGAAACTGAATAGTATGAGTGAATGTATTATGATACAAGATGATGTTTTAAATCCTTTGATTGGGTTCCGAGGAGAGATTATAGTCTCCTGGTGTTGATCGGGACTGTAATCAAGTGTATGGGGAAACCCAAATTGAACTTGATTTTAGACTGATTTCATGATCGGGATATAAAATGTTAAGTGATAAAATTTCACCTTTGAAGTGGATTTGGAATCTTTGGAACTCATCGATCGTGCCAATTGTTGGACTTTACGAAGTTTGAACTATAGTCACAAATAGGGAGTATAGGGCAAAGTATGGTGTCTACGAGAGGACAGGATTGGATTACTCAGTACTAAAATTTTCTGCTTAATTAGTCAGAAGACAGATTAATTACTTCCGAAACAACAAACAAGCTGCATCCCTTTTGGGAGAATACTTTTGAAGGGATGAAATGAGGCTCAGGCATTCTCAAATAAGCTGAAATGCCATAAAACATGAATGATCCATTCTTCTCAGTGGAATCAAACCTGTAGAGCTGTACTTGATGGATTTTAACTTGGAAGCCTCACTTCAAAAGATAGTCCATGCAATTTCATGTTTACCAACACTTCAATTGATTGCTTGGATTTAATTATCTATTGATTGTTTGCTTGCTTGACTTTTTATTTGCTCTCTTTCTTCTTTGTTTGGGCTATAGACTGTTTTTATAACTAATTAACGTTAATCATTTAACTGCTTACGGAATCTCATGACTTGTTTCAGATCAAATTTTCTTGGCACGAAATTCATAATATATGACACACAGCCTCCACATACTTGTGCTCATATCCCCCCACCAGGGCGCTCAAGCCGTAGATTCTACTCTAAGAAAGTCTCTCCAAAAATCCCAAGCGGCAGCTACAACATAGCGCAGATAGCATATGAGCTCAATGTGCTTGGGACACGAGGGCCACGAAGGATGCACTGTATCATGCGCTCAATTCCTGTGTCAGCACTTGACACAGGTGGCACGGTGCCCGGTCAACCGGAGCTACTCCCCCGCCCTCTGGAGGATTCTTTCCGGAGCATTTCTTTCTCTAAGTATTTTGATCAGTCTGTTGAGTTCAGCAGCTCACGATTTTCTGAAATTGGTGGGACAAGCAATGAGGACGATGATGGCAAGCTGAAACCTTTGATCCTCAAGAACAAGGCCCCTAGATGGCATGAACAGTTACAATGTTGGTGCTTGAATTTTCGAGGGAGAGTAACTGTTGCATCTGTTAAGAACTTTCAGTTGATTGCCGCTGCACAGCCACCTGCCACTACTCAGCCAGCCGCTGGTGCATCAGCAGCAACTTCTCAGCCAGCCCAACCGGAGCACGACAAAATAATTCTGCAATTTGGCAAGGTTGGCAAAGATATGTTTACCATGGATTATCGTTATCCGCTGTCTGCATTTCAGGCTTTTGCAATCTGCTTGAGCAGCTTTGATACCAAATTGGCTTGTGAATAATAGGAAAGAATGAACAGTAGGGTGAAACAAACCAGAGAAAAAAAAAAAAAGCGATCCTAACGCGTTTTCCTATCTTCGAGCTCTTGTTTACTTTAACTCTTCATCTCATGTCATTAGGATAGGAAATTGTTGTTAATGTAATTTAGTTGTTGTTTGTTGTTGTAGAACTTCATTCATAATTTTAGTGTGGTTCGGATTAAAGGGACCTTAGCATTGTAAAACTCATTCTTGTTCACTTTGTCTTTGTTGTCAATGTGTTCATTTTATATTTTACTTTTGAATGCATTGTTTTTGTATGCTTTTTAAAATTATTTCTGAAAAGCAAGAAAAGCAGATTAATTTCTATTTGGGAGGGTAAATATAAAACACATCTCAGAACACTGCAATTCAGAATAAACTGGTTTGGGTGGATTGCTACAAGTATGGTGGTTTATGTGCAGTGGTGGTAGTGATGGTGACTATTGACAAAGCTGGTGGTGGTGTTGTGTTAGGCAGTTTTAATGGATGAAATAAGTCAATAAGTAGGTGTGCATCTCTTAATAGTGATGACAAAAAGCTATGTTTGGGAGCACAGATAGTGCGGAGCCTGATATATATTGTTCAGTAGTGATGTCAATTCGTCTTTATGGGTTATAATAGTGTGTTTATGTAAGGATATTATATAAATTTAAATCTAACCCATTTAATAATCGTATCAAGAGCCCTCAATACTAACCTAACCAGTTTATTAAATGGGTAAACGTGTTAACTCGTTTAAAGAACTCTTTATCAAAATGAAACGTTTAATATTTAATCAAATAGTAAATAATAGAAAAAATTTGTCACAATTATCCCAAATATTCAAAATTTAAAGAAAAATCATAAGTCATAGACAAGGTTTATGTTGAAATGACTTAACTATCTATATTAATTGGTTTTAAACAGATATTATATTACATAGGCATATTCACGATTATAACATGTTGAGTTAAGTGGATTATAAAAAGGTTACACGGATTGAATTTTTCAACCCTAACCCGACACGATTAAGTAAACGGGTTAATCGTGTCAATCCGTTATGACCCGAATCCTTGTAAGGTCCCATACCAGCTTATCTAGTGTTGTGTTCGAGTCTTGTTAGCGGGTCGTGTCGTAATTTGCCATCCCTAGTCCAGTAATGTCCAACTGCGTAGTAATTTTCACACTTATTGTGTTGTCTTAGTGCGAGAGTATTTATTAATTGTGAACTCTCTGTATTGATGCCATTTTTATAGTGAAATCCCTGTAGTCCTAGTTTTGGGTGAACCAAGTAAAAATTTGTATTATTATTTTGTGTGTTTGATTTATTTATTTTTTTTAATTTTTTGTTTAATTTCGTAACATGCGTTTAAACTTACGTTAAAAGATTTTTTAAAGTTTAAATTAAATTTTTTATAATTTCAAGGAACCGATTTGGTGTTCCCACCCAAATTGAAAGGGTAATTTTTTTAGTTTACACCTGTGAATTACTTGAGTTTAAGACGAAGTAATTGTTCTTGGAAGATTAATTCTATGCTAGGGCATTTTAATTAGGTTTGTGAACCTAAATTCAATCAATGAGGTTTGTGAACCTAATGAAAGCGTGTCATGGATTGAACAGGAGTGCTCTACAATTAGGAGGGTATCATACTCATCGGAGCACCAATTACTCAATTAGGGTCTGTGAATCTGGTGAAAGGGCTGGCCATTGATCCAACAATGTCAGTGGTCCACAGTTAGGAGCGGTTATCACAAGAAGTCAGTGGCACTTCATCAATATAGGCATTCAATTTATATACACATATATATACATACATATATATATACATATATATATTTGGTAGGTAGTTAGGCACATCTGTTTGTCCCATTAAAACTGAATCCTTAACCTTTCATATGAAATGAGAAAGTATCACCATTGTGCCAAGTCTTCATATAAATTATAAAAATTTGAAAGCTTTTTTAACAGTAGTATGCAACCAAAATAGAATAGGATTATTAGAGCGCTAGAGCCACGAACCTATATATATTTAAATGTTCAAGCAATCGCATATACTAATTATATTCTCTAACCGAGTTGGATATTCAATCTCTTCTTGAATAAGAGATATCATACCATTGGATGCACATTAAACTATATACATTAATATATATGTCCAGGATCATCCATTTAAATAGGTTGTGGCAGCTATGGACGGGCTCATTAATTTGGCCTAATGGTAAGGCGTGACATTTGAGGAACAAGTCACACTTCTAAATTAATATTTTGGAATTTTAAGCAAGATGCTGGTTATTTTTGCTTTTAAAATTTTATATTATTCTTTTAATTAATCCATAATATATTTTAAATTGCATTGAATTCTTAAAAAAAGAAAATTATAAAATCACCCGCTATATCCAAAATCCATTATTGTCATGTCCCAGCTATATCGGATTAGAAAATAAAATATTCACTATTCATAATACTTCTAGCCGTATTCAAATTGTATCCGCGTATGTGAAAAATATTCGAGTATCCTAAGCTCAGATAAGTGCTTGTGCTTCCTAAGTTCAATGTGTATAAACTCACTGATCTCACTTTTGTCACTATTAAAAGAAAAGCTACAAGTGTGACGGTGAAGAATTTGGGAAGGTGACATTGGAAAGTGACAGAGATGAAGTGATGGAGAAGAGATGGTGTCACTCAATTCCCTTCCCTAATTCTCCGTGGATATGTCACAAATCACATGTGTTTCCACCCCTACATTAAACACTTTCTCTCTCCAAAAATTTCTTATGGTATCAAAATTTTGAATTAGAGAGGGGTGGTCCCAAAATTGGTGGAAGCCATGAAAATGTTGATGTGAGGATTAGGTAATGAGTTGGTAGGAGAATCAACCATTGGACGTGCAACATGGTGTCCACTCCTTTTCGTATTTCTTAATCACATAAAATTATTAGCGGATTAAATTGAACATAATATTTAGAGTTTCATATTAAGTTCCAAACGTTATTATTATTGAATTAAATTTTTAATTATATCTGAGTTATCGAAAAGAGTATGGATCAAACAGACCTAATTACGAGCATGGCTTGTTTGTCAAGCTCGGATAATGGTCGGTCCAATACCATTAAACCTAATCTTTTAAGGAATTACATGTGTGTTTTGAATTAAATGTCCTTTGTTAGGAAGAAAGGAAGGTGGGTGAAAAAAACAAAGAAAAAAAAGAAAAGAACAAGAAGAAAAAGAAGAAGAAGAAGGAAAACTTCCTTCGTTTGGTAGAGAGGATGCAAGGAGAGAAGAGAAAAAATGATAGATGATTCATCTTTCCCTCTTCACATATTTATGTCCCTCCAAACATGGAGGGAAGACACGAACAAAGAAATGCAACGTTATTATAAATGTTTTTAAATTACAAAACTTTTCTTATAATTAGTCATTTCTCTTTCTTTCTCTCGTAATAAACAAAATAAGGTTCTTATTCTCTCTTCTCTTCCATCCAATCAAACAAAAAGAGAAAAATACATAATCTATTCTCTAAGAATGTCACATTTATTTCTTCTTCTCTGTAAAATTAAAAATTTCAATAAATAAATTATGGTATTTAAATAAAGATTTTTAACGATTGTCGTAAAAATAATAAGATATTATTCTATTCCAACGCGAAAAGATGAGCAGGTTAAAGGGTTAACTCTCACTCTAATAAAAGCATTGTTGTTCAAATGTGGGTTGAATCCAATCTCGAGTAAGTTCAATTAAGATGTGTTCGTTAAATTGGTTAGTAACTCAGATTAGCCTACAATTCCAACAAATTGTATCATTTTTTTTATTTCATAAAATTTAAAAAAAAAAAAAGAAAAAGAATAGATGGTAGTGCACGTTTAGAGAAATCCTCATTTGACGTTGGAATATTTTAAAAATTTACAAAGACGTGGGAATTTTTTTAAAAGATTCTATTTTGCAGAAAAAGTGGAATTCTGACTCCACTTGTTTGTAAGTTGACCACCAAAAGACCTTTTTTTTTAAAAAAAAAAAAAATTATTTTTTAATATTATTATTACTATTTTTAAATATTTGGGTAGTAAGCTCAAATTATATTGAATCAACTAAATAATACAAGATCCAAAGGGCATCCCTGAGATCAAAATATTCTCAAAATCACCAATTCAAAATAAAAAGGAAAAGGGAATAAAGTGAAGCAATCCTAACAAGAGAGCAACAATGAACAAGAAAAAGACCAAAAGATACCTCTTGTGGAAACAAAGCAACCAATTTCACAGCATAAGAATCTCAAAAGCAGTCCGAATCAACAGCAATTCCATCTGAAACCAGGCAGCTAACCATGTAAATCTATCGGAATTCAAAAATAAAAGTAAGAAAAATGTTACATACTTCAAATTTAGTATGTATAATATTTGGGTAGTTATCAGTGAGGATGTATACCGTATTCACCATTGATTTAGATTAATAGTGAATGAATATGTCCCTTTTAGTTACTAAATCAGAGATGGTGGGGTACAAAGGGCGGAGACGGTTTGTGCTGAGGGGGGCACATGCCTCCTCGCCTGGCCCCGCCTAGCATAAAATATGATTAATTTAAATTTATTTTTCTAATTGGGACTCACACACACGGCCTTTATTGAGATTTGAACCTCTGACCTTCTTTTGAGAAGTAGGAGTCTTATACCGCTAGGCCAAAGGCCTGTTGGTTATAAAAAAATTTCTATATAATGTCCTCCTTAAAATTTTTAATTTCTAAAATTATATCCTTCTTTAAAATTTTTAACTTCTAAAATTATATCCTAAATATTTCTTTCTTCTCTCTTATACTCTTAAAATTCCTTTAATTTCCTTTAAAAAAAAAGTTAAATTTTCCTTCTTCAATCAAAGTCCAATTGTTTACTTTCAAATATCTCATTTTTTCTTTCCTTTTTCTTCTTCTTTTCTTTCATTTTTTTTTTCCTACTTAAAATTCTTCTTTTTGCCCTTAGCAATAATATGTGAATGCATTTTTTTTTTTCTATTTATTTTAATTTACTACTCTAATTTATGAAGTTAGTGAGTCTAATTTTCAAGCATCACTTTTAAAATAAAAGATCTACAACTATATTCAATAAAAATATTAACTAATAAACAATATTTTAGTTCTTATATTGATCAAATACTTATAATTCTTATACTACTCATTGATTTAGTATATTTGCAATGATTTTTTTTTATATTATTTTTTATTATTATTTTTTTTCATACATCATCTCTGATTTGATAACAAAAGAAGATTTGTTTATTTTTTTATTATTCCACATGAGCAGTGAGAACGATGTACATTATCACTAGTGATACCTAAATATTGCCATTTAATATTGTGTGTGACTGAAATGTAGATTCCATCATATGATGTTAAGGTAATATCATAAAATAGAGTTCACAACTCCTTCCATATTTCCTATTTGGTGTCTCCAAATTTTATACCATTTATGATAAAATAAATTACAATAAAGAAATAAGATTATATCATCTAATTATAAAGCAAAAACATCGAATGTTAGTGGACTTTGGAGTTCTAAACTCACTTACAAATTACTTCAAGTTTATTAGTATAATAATAGATACGGTATAACAAACATTGATTCCATAAGTACACGTTAAGAAATGAATAAAAAAAGTAATCACCTTTAAGTTGATGGCACAAAATTAGGATGTAGAGTTCAATACCCAATTTTTAGGAGGTTCATGGTGCTACACTCATTATTAAGAAAATATAAATAATGTCACACCCAAGGTCTCAACACAACTTCATCCCTCCTTGCTTGTTAGAAGGAATCTCCTCCTTACAATTGATGTGTGGTGATATAATTGCAACACCTCTCCTTTTAAATTATTTATTTATTTTTTAAAAAATAATCTACTTTTTTTTAGGTGGGTCTACAAATATAGTACAATTATATCATGGGCTTCCACTGTATATAAGGAGGAGATACCTTGTTAAATAGAAGGAGATAAATAAATCTCATTCACATTATGTTTCAAAGTTCAAAACATGAATTAGATCGAATGCAAAAAAAATATTTTCTAATTGAGATTGTCATTTCCCCTCAAAATAAAGGAAAATTGTTTTTAAATAATTTACTTTGTTTTTAATTAAGGACTACTATCTAAAAAAACTGTTATTCGATATCCAAAATTGTACTTAGATGCTCTACTTCACATTCATAAACGAAAAAAATGACAAAAATAATCTTTTAACTACTTTAATACGTCTTGTTGTCTTGCCTTTTCATTTTTTTTTGGGGTCCATCTCCTCTCTGAAAAACTAAGCAAATACAAGAGAATCATAAGATTGAAACTCATTAAACAAGTTATATATTCATCACTATTTTTTTAATTTATTTTTAGCTTACAAGCATAACATCCAGCTTGCAGAGCCCAATCAGGGTGTCTTCCAAAGGCATCATTGAATAGATTATCATCCAAGTCCCAAGCTAGAGAAATCAATGTCACAAAATCACGGTTAGTGACAAAATCAGGGTCGGCCCTAGGTATAGGATTCATGCGGTCATTTAGGGTCTCCAATTTAAAAGGGTCTCAAATTTAGGATCATTGTGAAAATATATTACGTAATAGGATCTTTGTGCAAATAGTAGTATATGCCTGAAATGTCACTGCTTTCCATAGTCCCCATGTAACAACAATAGCCATTAAAAAGCTAAACATATGTCCATTTCAAGCAATAATTTACATAATTAAAAGACAATACACACCTTTACATATCATGTAAATTTATTGCAATAAATAACTTTTAAAAAATATTTATGGCAATAAACACACGTACTTATAATTTTATATGGTAACAATAATTTATTTGTCCCCTTTTTTAAAAGAAAAAAAAATTCTTTTTATATTTAATATGGTGACAATAATTGTTTCTGTTCCCTCCTTTAAAAGAAAAAAGAATTCTTTTTATATTTAGATTCAGAAACTAGTTTATTTTTATTATTATATTATCATATTATTTTTAAGCTTATGTGCATGCATGTCCGCTCCATTAAATTCAAACTAAAATTTTAATTTATGAATGTAATCAACGGTCACATTCTCCGTAATAACCTAAATGAATGAAAAAGGGTAGAGAGAGGTAAGATGGAACAATGAGTAGAGTGAGAAAGGAGTGAAGTAAGGATGAGAAAAGGAAAAAGTGAAGAAAAGAGTCCAAAAAGAAAAAGAGATGGAAGAGAGTGAGCTAAGAGAGTCCTCGATCCAAAATATATATATATAACGTACGAGCATAACATCTCCTTTTCAATATTTTATTTATTATTTTTGTGTATATATATATATATATATATATATTTATTTTATTAGTATTGTTACTTTATTTATTTATTATTAAAAATACAAAGAGTTTTATGCTCTATTTGGTATAAATTTCCTTCCCTCTAATATGGATGAAAAATATGACAGAAGAAAGGTAAGGCAATAGTAATTATTATTATTATTATTATTTTTTCTTTTCTTTCTTGACAATAATGTTCTGTCTTATATTTTATCTTCCATCCATCGAACTAAACAAAAAGAAAAGATGACACTCTTTTTTATAGGTATATTTATTTAAGTCTTCTTTTCTTTCTTCCATCAAAATTTCATGCATCCTACCAAATAGAGCACTAATACATTATTGTGTTTAAGTACATATATATTACTTTATTTTTAATTAAATTTTCTTTTCAATTTTAACTACTATATTATTATTGTTAACTAAATAAATAGGTTTTTCCGGTCACACAATCCTTCTGTGCTTTGAGAGCATATCGCGTGAATTTAGTTTCCAACTATTATATTATATTAAAAAATCTAATTATATAAGAAAATATATAATATTAAAAAATATAATCATAGAAGGAAACACATTAGTATATAATATTAAAAAATGTATTTATTTACTCTCAGAATTGTGTTTGTTATTAATAAATCTGAAAAAGAAAAAATATTTGGCTTCATAAATATTTGAAATTTTAATTACTAAAACAATTTGTTAATTAATTAGTTGTAAAAAAAAGTTATTTTGATAATTTTATATAATTTTTTTAATTAAAATTATAAAATAACTTTTGATAACGTAGTATATTTACATGTATATATATATATATATTTTCTTCGTACTTTTCAAAAATAAAAAAAACATAAATCTCCCTGTCTTCAATATTTGGTTGTATATGTGCGTGTATATATTTATATCTTCTTTTGTAAGCCTTGAATATTTGTCAGACCAAAGGCGTTTGGGCTCATGCCTTCCAGTAGGGTTCCATACATATATATACACATATGCTCATGCATATATGGTTCCTTTCGTCTTTGGAGCTCCTATTTTTATTTAATGTTATAAAGGTACTCTCTTTCTCATCGCCTCTGGTTATCTGTTTTGTTATTTTCTCGAATTATCATTTTGTTTTTTCGTTTTCTTTGATCTGTTGAAAATTTATGGAGTTCATTGTCATATGGATCTGCTTGTTTTTCATGTTTCCAGTTGCAGACCAATTTTTTTTTCTCATTTTTGCTGATTTGGGGTTTGTCTGTTCTTCATTAATGTCTGAAAATTTAAATGGGTTTTGGAATTATTGTTGATTAATATGTTTGGATTTTATTCGGGGTTGAGAGTTCCTTGGATCCGGTTCTGAACATTTTATAGATTCAGGGATTCTTAGCTTGATTTTTGTTGAGTTTTATGTTGGTAATGAAAGTTTTATATAGGTTTTGGAATTCATATATTGGGAGGCTTTTAGGAATGTATCTGACTGAGGTATAGGTGGGTTTCTGTTGATTCTGGAAATTGTTTGGGTGTGTTTTCAGTTTTGGTTGATGAAAGCTGGTTGAAGCATAGGTGGGTTTTGGAAAGGCTTGGATTTGGTTCTAATAATTCTTAGGTTTGGGGGAGATTATGTTGATGAATTTGGTTGAGTTATTCATGCATTTCTGTTAATTCTGTTAGTCTATGGCCTTGGAGGCTCTTGGAGGTCTTATTGATTCGTTAATTTTTCGTTCTGATAAATCTATTGAATCATAGGTGGGTTCAAGATGATTTCCTGAATCGAGTCATCTTGAGGATTCTGAGGAAGTTTTGTCAAGCAATAATGCCCTCTACCGATAATCAAAGTCTTTCTCTGCCTTTTGCATCATTCCGCCGGTCAATTTTTAGTGTTAGGAGTGATCAGGTTCATTCCATGGAAACTAATTCTGATTCTGGTGTCCCGGAAACCGAACTTGAATCATTCCAAAAGCAAGTGTCTGACAGATTTCATGCTCTATCAGCTGTTTCTGCTGAAGAATTTCTCTCCATTACATGGATACAGAAGCTATTGGATGCGTTTCTTAGCTGTCAGGAGGAGTTTAGGGTTATCTTATGCAACAACAAGGCACGGCTTTCAAAACCACCCTTAGACAGGGTCGTCTCTGAATACTTTGAGAGGAGCATTAAGGCACTTGATATTTGTAATGCAACTCGTGATGGGATCGAGAAGATTCGGCTGTGGCAGAAGCACTTGGAGATCATCCTCTGTGCGTTGGATTCTCAACAGAGGATGATAGGTGAAGGCCAATTTCGTCGAGCAAGAAAAGCTTTGATGGATTTGGCACTCATGATGTTGGATGAGAAGGAATCCGGATCTGTTTTTTCACACCGTAATCGGTCTTTTGGACGTCAGAATACAGGCAAGGATCCTCATCGTAAACCAGGTCACTCAAGGTCCCTCTCGTGGAGTGTATCTCGTTCTTGGTCAGCAACGAAACAGCTCCAATTAATCTCTAACAACTTGTTCCCACCACGTGGGAATGAGATCTTGGCTACAAATGGGCTTGCAATCCCTGTTTTCACGATGAGTTATGTGCTCATGTTTGTATTGTGGGCTCTTGTTGCTGCAATTCCTTGCCAAGATCGAGGTCTCCAAATTCATTTTTCAATCCCACGACAGTTCTCATGGGGTACTCCATTGATTCTGCTTCATGATCGAATTGTTGAGGAATCTAAGAAGCGGGACCGACGCAATTCTAATGGCTTGCTGAAAGAGATTTATCAGATTGAGAAATGTACCCGTCACATGACGGACATGGTAGATTCAGCTCAGTTCCCATTGAAGGAGGAACAGAAGGAAGAAGTGGGGCAGGGAGTGCAAGAACTATCACAGGTTTTTGATGTTTGTAAAAAAGGGTTGGATCCTTTGGAGCGGCAAGTGAGGGAGGTTTTCCAAAAGATTATGAGTTGCCGAACTGAGGGTCTTGAATTCTTGAGCAGGGTAAACAAACCTGAGTAATATGAATCGTTATAAAAGTGAGGTTCAAATGTAAAAATCTGCAAATATGTTGTTATTTTACTTTTTGTTAGCCTATTACGAGGAAGGTCTTTAGCCAGCGATAATAAAGGATTCTTCTGCAGGTAACTTTCTCGAAATATAATTATACTTCTTTAGGAGCACAATGTTTATATTGGTTTCCCTGTTTTATGGTTCTATCATCTGGTTTGCTTTGATTTTGTATTGGTTCTTGATATATATTCACATTTTCATTTGGAAGCAACTTATGTTACTTATTTTTCATTCTTTTTGGCTATAACTTTCCCTTTTTCTTTCTTTCTTTCTTTCTTGTTTTCATTGATTCTGCAAATGATCATCAGAGGCTTCCTTTTCCTTTTGACCCTTCACTGCATGATGTGCTTGGAGTATATCCAAGTGATAAAATAGATAGCCTATATAAACTTGACAAGTAAAAACAAACATGTCAAGAGTTTACATGGAAGGTTCTTAATTAACCTATGTTCAATTTATAAAACGAAGAGGATTGTCATATGTAAATATTTATTTGTAAAACGAAGATGGTTGTCATATGTAAATATTATTCTTATTCTCGGTTAGGTCCTTTACTCACAAACGGACTAGAACTCCTAACCTTCCCTTTGAGGTAGGAGGGGTGTTCTTGCAATAACAAGTCAGTACTTGTGAACTGTGTTTAAGAATTGTCTTTTTAGTGCGTGACAAGAGCTTCAGACTGTACAAATGTAGGCCCTGGGTTATTATGGCTCTGTGATTGGGCTCCCTTCACACAATAATGCTCAAATGATGCTTTGGTGATGCCTTGGAATCAATGTGGTTGCAGTTCATGAACAGATAGGTTGTCTTTGTCAGGTCTGTAAGGGTATTCTGAGTAATGTGGTTGGGTTATGTTGTATCATCTCAATGATGGTATGGATAAATAAGTTATTAAAAAAGATTTGGTTAAATTAAATTGAAGTTTCCACAGTAATTGTTGAGAATCTTTTGCTTTTCCTAGTTTTACCATGTAGGTTAGATCACTGCAAAAACTAAGGAGTGGGTAATATTATACCAAGCACAGATCCATTCTTTCAAACCATTTACAGTGAATGAAGAGGGCAAACATATGTGAATTGCATTGCTGCCTTCACTTTCTTTAAAATGAATTACTCCGTATTATTTTTTATTTGCAATTTGTGTGTGTGTGTGTGTGTGTTTGTTGTAATGCACCCATTACCTGTGTGAATAATACCTAGGTTGACATTGGAGCTTGGAGGACGAACAACCCTGGCAGCCTTAGCTGCTCGATATTATTTCATGATTATTGTTACATGCTGTGATCTTGGAAATAATATTTATTGAAACTTTGTTGTGCATACCAGCCTATGAAATTTACATTTTTACTTCTCATTTGCGCACCTTATTAGGAAAAATGGGTGGAGAACTTGGAATTTACGAACAGATCAGTTGTTAAAGTGCAAAATCTCACCGGCAAAGACCTATTTTCTTGTGGTCCTTTGTGTACTATTACAGTGCTTCAACATTCATATCTTTTTAATGCTTTAGTTTAAATAAATTTCAATCTGGAACTAGTGTATGTTGCTTGATTGCTTTGAGATCACTTTTTTTTTTGTTTGTTTGTTTTATTCTTAATTGTTCGGGGAAAAAAAAAACACCATAAAAAAGGAAAGTCAGAATGCAACCAATGCCGCGCTGTTTCTGCTTCTTTTTCGCTCCCTGTACAAGAAAAAACTGAGTAATCATGACTTTGCTTTCAAGTTGTTGCTATTACAAGTTGTTCTTGAGCTGTAAACAGTTGAGAGGTAGTCGTGCATAGGGCATTCAGTAAAGTTGGCCATCTAATACTCCAGTGAGGATATCACTGGCTCAAAGCTGGCATGAGCCCTAGATTTGACTTACTCTGATTGATTAACATTAAAGAAACACACCAAAAAGCATTTTAGTAGTAAACAAATCACCCTCAAACCCAGGGCATCAGCTACATTGGTCAAAAAGGACCGTTAGGGTTAGGAGGAAGAGGGTTAAGGTTAGGAGGTTCGATACTTAATACGAAAGGAGGGTAGTGATGGTCAAAAAGGACGGTTAGGGTTAGGGTAAAGTGAGGGTTGAAAAGGAAGAGGGGTTAGGGTTAGGGTTAGGGTTAGGGTTAGGGTTAAAGTGAGGGTTGAAAAGGAAGAGGGTCAAGGTGAGCTTCGATTCCTAAAGATGAAATGAAAGAAGAAAAATTATTTTTGCTGCAAAACCTTTTAGTGTAAAACCGAAATAATAATGTTCACATGACACAATAAAGTGGGACTCACAAAAAGGAAATTAGCACATCCACATTTGGGTTCCACCTTATTGCATCATGTGGATGTGGGTATTTTGGCCATGCACTTGTAATGTCAAATGATTTGGTAGTCATTAACTAAAGACACTCTGTTGATGGCCCCAATGTTGCAAAAATTGGTGGGTGAGAGTGTGGTATGCCAAAACAGGCTGGACCGATCACCAAGTTTTCCCACCACAATCAGCTAACCAGTTACTTGTAGTGTCTCTTTCATGTTATCTGTTGGATTGGACTTTAGTTTAGATGGGTCCTATTCAAATCACTACACATTGAACACATCTGCAATGGATTTTGGAAGGTGACTGGTTATGTGCTAAGTTACACAATCCTTTTCAACAGGTGTTGTTCTCACGTTCCGAACGTATTGTCGTTCTTCTCGCTCTGTGCGCGCTTTAACTCAAATTTTCACTATTTATGACTTAATTCTGCCGTTCTCATGCTTCCGTTCTTGAATTTGCTCTTACTCCCGCTCTCGCTTTATGTGATTTAGGTCATATGAGCTCTTGATTTTTTTCTTAATAGACATGGATAACTAGATTTGTCGCCTATGGAAATTTGGATTCTCAACCTTTTACTAAACAGGGTCGAGAATTATTGATAATCTCAATATTTTTTAGTATACAATTTTTAATATTGTATCAACTTCTTGATGCATGGATTATATGAACCCTATGATTGCATTACAGATATAAAAAGAAAGAAGAAAGAATAATACTCATTTCATCTTAATTTAGTTGTTCATTTTTTTTTCTTTTTGGATTGTCCCAAAATATTTGTGCAGTTACTAAGTTTAAATAAAATATTTTGCATTGTTCCGTAAATGCCCTTAAAAATTTTAAAAATTTCAAACTTCATTACATATATTTTTGATAATTTAACAATTAAAAAAAAGACATTGTATTAATTGCAGTACTCTCAAAAACACTACTTCCCAAAACTTACATCTAATTTGGATAAAGGGTTATATTATTGCCAATTTTAACTCCACAAACAATAAGATTCCAACTTTTTGGAATCATGTAACTTATTAGGTAAGGTTCTATATTAATTGAATTGATTTGAAATGAGCGGGCCATTCATTTCAAATCATTCAGTTCACTTACAGTTTTGTCTAGCTGCATAAAAATTGTACAGTAACAAAATATAATTGCCGCAATGGGCAACGTTTTATTTAAACTCAAGTCCCTACATTTTAAGTCATTTATTTTGCCAAATGTAGCATGCAATAAATTAATTTTAGAAAGTTTGGGATTGAATTGGAGCTAAGCTAGGCATAGCTCGAACTTTGACCAAAACCAAAGTTGAGTTCAAACATTTGATCAAGCCCAGCATAGCTCTAACTTAAACTGACTCAGCCCAATCAGATAGAGCCTGAGTTGGCAGGTTTTGGACCTTCCCAGCCCAATTGATAGTCTTAGAAAGGCGAGGCTCACAAAACCATTTGGAATGGACACAACTCAATGTTTAAATATGAGAAAAAATCACATAACCACCTTCATTTTCGTCCATAAAATCCCCATCAAAATTAAATACCCCCTGAACTAAAATTAAACATCCTCCTGAATTATAAAAATGCTATCAAGTTATCACATATTCGTGTCTGACCCGTTTATTAAATTATAAAATGACAAAACTAACCTTACAATTTAATATTAAATTTAAAACTGATAATTATAATTTTTAAATTACAAAAATACCCCTATTAAATGGGTCTTCTTCCTCTCACTCTAAGTCAACCCAGTTCTTTTCAGCAAGTCAACCCAGTTCCTCCCCGATTTGCTTGAAGAGAGAACGGCGATGGCAAGCTCGACGGCCGATTTGCTTGAAGAGAGTCAACCCAGTTCCTCCCCGATTACCAGTTCATTCATTAAGATTTCAAAAGTTTATTTATTGTATCTTTTGCACCTCCATAATATTCAAAACACCATTTTCTCTCTCCAATTTCATAATGACAACAAACTCAAAGTATAGCTCTAAGACTACAACCATATGTTCCAAAATGGGTCCACCTGTTATACAAAGCATGATATACTGACCATTGGAGCACCCCACAATTGTCAGATTTAGGTGGAATGACACAAGATACAACCCAACCCTTTTTCTCATACAATAAATGAACTTTCGAAAGCTTAACAGTTGTTCCTCCCCTATTTCGCCGGTAAGTCTCTCTCCGGCAAACAAATTTGTTGATAGCAGAAAAGACTTGATGCTGGAAGTTGATGAAGATGGTGTGTGTGTAATGTAAAGCTGTAAAGTTGTTACAATTTCTGCCTTTCTTCCTTTTCACCCCTCTCTCTCTACCTTTCCTCTCTAAAACTAGACCCATTAAAGAAACAGAGCAAGCAAATAGATCAAAATTTCTAAAATTCTTGCACTGTGTAGGGGTTCTTTTTTAACTGAGTGATAAACAACAATATAGTGGTGATATCAGGAATACAAATATGAAGGAAAATAGAGGAGATGCTCAGTGTAGGAGGAGGAGAAGAAGACTAACTTTCAAGATAAAGATGGTGGTAGGACAAGTATACAATATCTTATGGCAGCTTCTTCTTCTTGGGTTGGTTATTCCTTCATAGGACAATGCTATTTATAGATTTGGATTCCATTGGTTATTAGCCAATGGTCCCTTCCGTGCATGGTCCCTCGCCTGCATTACTCCCAATCTGGATTACGTGAGTAATCCTGGAGATTTAGGAGTCTAAAGGGTCTAATCCTTTCCTCGAGCCTTGTCCTATGTTGCCATGTCGCTTCTCCCTTAATCAGGGGCATTAAATTTGCTTGGTCGTCGATTGGTCAAGCCTGACACAACATTAATTATGATTTTAAGGTTTGCTGTCATGACATGTATAATCCCATCATCTTGTTAATTGGGCCTTGCTGAGAGCGAAGGCACCTCTTGATTTCTCATCCACCAATCC